TCCCCGAGGCCACATTTGGAACAGTGCATCTTTGGGGCAGGAATCTGTGCCTGAGATTACTATATTGTGATCTTATGATCAAACCTAACAAGACAAAGCCGTGGCCGAGTGGGGCTGCTTTTAATATTTCAGAGTTGGCTGCAGGGATCCAATTATTTTCAGTTTGGATACATTTCCCCTTTATCAATATCTCCATGTGCATAAATAAGATGAAAGTGGCATTGCAGAATCAAAAGGAGACGGCACTCCATCGCCGGGCAGGCTGCTTCCATCTGCAAGTGCGCGGCCAGTCTCTCCCACGCGGGTTTCTGATGTGGGCACCAATCTTCCTTTCCAAGGCAACATCTTTTTATAGGTTAAAGACAAGAAGGATGTTTAGGCATGGAGGTGAACTTACAAATAATGGAAAAAAAAGAAAAGAAGAAGAGAAACAGGAAGCTAAAGACAGGAGGGAGTGTGTACTAAATCAGCCGCCAGCCCCCTTCCAAGTAGCATCAAAGAGGCAATGGGTGATTTCAGCCGTGCTCAGAGCTCCTCTCAAGAGCTCTTTCATGGAATTGAAAACCCAGTTCTGCACTTCCAGGTTCCTTTGATTTCCTAGTCCAACGCAGCAGGCTCCTGAGCACGCGTAAATAGGCTACCTGTGCTGAAATGCAAATAGCAACGTCCCCGCAGACCCTCCCGGGCCAGATGCCTGACACTAAGAGACAAAGATGGGAGGCGAAGGCAGAGCCACAGGGCCAAGCAGAGGGTGGCTTCTGCCCAGAGGGCTCTGCTCGGTCCCTGCAGTCAATCCAAAGGGCTTCCACGTGAGAGGGGACGATAATACAGAATGCGGTCATGGTGTCGCATGAGGCCCCCAGATGCCACTGAGCCCTGGGGCACAGATGGGTTCACGGGGACAGCTGCCCCTGTGCTGCAAAGGCCAAAGCTCCCTGCCCTAGGGGCATAAAAGGCTCACGTTCTGGGGTGACCACCTGCACCCTCCCCATTCACCTGTCCCTCACTCGAGCAAGGTCCATCTGCTATTCCTAATACCTTTACCTCTGCGGTTAGTATTCTTGCATTTGGAAGAGGAGCTCGGCCACTTGTCTCCATAGCGACAGACATTGGTGCTCTTACAGAGGGACCCTCCCTGTCCCATGGCTCCCCAGCTGCTACAAGGTGCTCATCCTGGCCACCACCCGAGCTCACACCAAAAATCCTGGCCCTAAGACTGCAACATGCCCCTGCTCAGCCCCGACAGTCCCGGCTCCTCTGCCCACTGCTACTACCTGTGCGCCGCTTAAACCTCCCATCTAAAATCAATATTTTAAGTGTGTGCTTAAATGGTATCAATAGCAATTAGAGAGGGGGAATTCTGATTCTGCCCCAGATGTAGTTAATTGTCATCTCATCGATCTCGCCTCTGACATGAATCCTTCTCCAAATTAAACCCCCATTACAGAGGGGGACGAGGGTATCTTTTTTCCTCCTATGACAATAAATTTAATATCGAATGCACTGGACAAAATGGCAGCTGTTGCAGAATCCATCCAAAAAGATTTTTTTTCTTCTTCCTGGGAGTAATTAAAAGATGCTTTCCTTGACTAATGACTGTGCTGTTTAGGAATGGGAAGTCAATACTGCTTCAGCCGCCGTCAGCTTCCATTGATCATGATGCTGCTCAAGTTTGAACGGCAGTTCGCAGGGTGGCTGAGAATCATGGAACCAATTATAAGCAGTCCAGAGCTGCTTTAATAGGGGCACGGGGACAGCAGGCTGAAGGCCAGTCTCTCTGCCCGGTGCCTGCCCTCCTGGGCTGCCTGTGGGCCCAGGCAACTCCAGGTGCTGCGTTTTCGGGGACAGAGGAGAAAGGTGTGCTGTGCCTGACCAGGGGTCTCAGTCCATGTGTGCCTGTGCCCAGGTGGGCAAGTGTCGGGGTCGGGGGAGGGTGTCTGTGGCTTCTAGCCGCATTCCACTGTCAGGTAAGTCCAGACCAGAGCGTCTCAGGAAGCACTGCACTCTTCTCCAGCCATCAGACTCTGGGCTTTTATTTAAACACTTATTTAAATATATTTCCACATCTTTTTTTATTTATTCATTCATTATTTATTCCTCAGGTACCAGGAACTGAGCCAGGGTCTTGCACATGCTAGGTAAGTGCCACACCAGGGAGCGGCACCCAGCGTACCTCAGCGTCTCTTACTAGTACCACCTCAGGACATGTCAGAAGCCCCCCATCAAGCCTAGACTCTGCAGAGAGAGGGAATGGGTACCGGGACCAGAAACCCATCCTCCCAAGGCTATGAACCCCTGCAGGCACGTAGCCAGACTTTCTGGTTTTCACCTGCATTCGGGGAAGTGCGGAGGTGGTGGAGGAGGTGGTTTCGAGTCACTGCTGTACCACTGGCTGTTGTTTTGCTTTGACCGTGTTTCTAAGGCTTCCTGTGATCCGCCAGGACCACGGCCTTCCCCACTTCCTCCAGGTGGAACACACTCAGACACATAAATAGACCAAAGTGCCCCCACACCCCGGTGCTAGTCCTGGTGCTGGTGCCCAGGCTCAAAGGCCCTCTCCGGCACCTTCCTTGGCCACCTCATCTACAGGAGGGTCCAGCCTATGGGGAAGACGTGCTGTCGTGCACACCTGCAGGCTGAGCCCCCCACTCCTGCCTTAGCCCAGGCCACTGACCTCCCCCGGCACACCTCCCCTGGGAACCGCCTCATATTAAGACACCGGCTGGAGCAGCCTTCATCCAGTGACCCGTCCCCGCAGCACACCAGCTGTAAGAGTCCCCCCCCCACCTGCCAAATTCTGCCAGCCCTGGCACCCCCAGAGGGCCCAGGACGTCACCCGCCACTGCTGTCCCAGCCACCATTCACTGTCTCTTCCATGAGCAAGTGCTCAATGGACATTCACTGAATCCAATCAAAAACAAAACTCTCCGGGAGAATTATTAAAGGCACAACAAATTAAAGTCAATTCTCATGTACGTTGACCTTAGCGGCGGACAGAACATAGGAATTCAAGAGCTACCTGAGGAAACGTCACGGAACCTCATTAGGATGTCCGCGCCCTGGAGAGGAACTGCACCTTAATACTGTAACCTCCCCCACTCTTGGTGGCACTGGGGATGGAACCCAGGGTCTCTCATATGCTAGGCAAGTGCTCTACCACTGAGCTGAGCTACACCATCAGCTCTCTTTTTGTTTTTGTTTTGAGACAGGGTCTCCCTAAGTTGCTGAGGACGGTCTTGAACTTGTGATCCTCCTGCCTCAGTCTCCTGAGTGGCTATGATTACAGGTGTGTGCCAATGTGCCTGGCTATTGGCACTTCTCTTTAGGAAAGCCAGTGTGACCCAAGAAAAGATGGGGTTCTGTTGCAGTTGCCTCGTTAGTGAGAAAGGAAGACTTCGAGATACGTCTCTGAACGTCTAATGTTCTGTAGATCAGGAGCTACAAATGCAAGCCCTTCATGCAAAGATACAAAGAACTATCAAATGCCTGTGGTTTTCACTTAGAACTGCAAAATTAATGTGAAATATTTATCAGTTTAAAAAATAACCCACAACTTCACTTCTAATAATTTTAAATGGTTTCAAATATTAATGGGCAGAAAAACAAGCTTTTCTAATTCCTGATATTAAAAACCATGTTGATTTTTTCAAACTTATTTCAATGTTTTGTTCATTCAAACATTAAACTCAATCTAATTTCCAACTTTCAGACTGAAGTTCTTTCAATGATTAAATGCAACGCGATTTGATCTTTTTTAAGGACGCGCCTAGTGGACGACCCAGCTGTTTCTAACTCGGTGGTCAACAGATCAAGGCAGCTTTAACAAGACGAGGATTTCTCTGGTTTGTTAGAAGTTACCTGTGTCTACGTGGCATGGTGCAACCCACATGAGAAAAGCCCGCATGTCGAACCTGTGGGACTTCCAACAGTCAACCTGGCACGCCTCTGTCATCCCCGCCCTTCCCCAGAGCAGCCTTGGGGACAGCAGGACTAACAGGTGCCAGCATCCCCCTCCATGTGAACCCAAGGTGGCACCACACCCTCCCACTGCAGTGTTGGTGACATTGGGCCTGTGGCTCCGGTGTCACCCAGCAGTCACTGACGTCTGCAGCTGAGCCATGGACTGAGCACTACTGGCCTCCGGCCCATCGCATAACCAGCAAAACAGAGCGAGGCCTCTCCTTTGGCTAAGGATGGGTGGCACCTCCTGCCTTCGTCTCGCCCCACGCCCAAGAAGTGAGCGCTGGAAACACCTCAGCCCTGCTGTCTAGGCGGGAGCAAGACCCCTGCTGAGTGGCCCAGGAAGCACCTGGCCTGGACACGCAGAGGAGGCGGGCTGCAGACAGGCCTGCTCTGAAGACATGCTATTTCACCACCTCTGAGGGGTATTAAATATGCATGTGTCCTCTCAAAAACGGTTTGTAATAGCTGTGAATGACAAATGAGAAACTAAATGGCCTCAAAATAAATGCGTTTTTTACACTGGATAACAATTAACATTAATGAGGAGTCGCCATACATTATGCTGAACTTGGTTGATTAAATGGGTTAGAAATATATTTTAGGAAGTAAAACATATTTTCTCCTCACAAATTCACTTGTTGGTAGGAGCGGGGGTGGTTACCAACGGAGCAGATGCTTACAAAGATACAAGAATGATAAACAAAATTAAAGAATCAAAAAGTCATAATTAGTGTCAGCACAGCTCATGCCTATTAGAAATGTATTAATTACAGTAATATATTCATAAGGTTAGAAGCTTAATACATTTCTAAGAGGGGGACAGAAACCCCCAAGGCCTAAAAACAAACATAAAAAATTAAGCAGTTTGAATTATCCACTCTGCCTAAGACCAATTTTAAACACAGATGTTTCTGGGCGGGCCTCACTGGCATTCCTACAGGTTGCCAGGGCCACTCTGAGTGTGGCTGTCCCTCAGGTGGACCCCAGCTGTCTCACTGTGGTGTCCGCGTCTAGGCAGCGCCCTGCCGGGTTCCTACCTCGTGGAGTCCAAGGAGGGCTTCGTCCGCCCCTGGCTGCTCTCTTCCCAGACGCTGTTGGCCAGCTCGTTCCCGATGGACGACATCACCTTGATCAGCTCAATGGGCCAGTCGTCGAGGTCCAGAGACCGGACCCGGGAGAGGTGGGTGCCCAGATTCCGGTGGATGCCCGAGCACTCGATGCACATGAGGGCTCCCAAGTTCAGACTGGCCCAGTTGGGATCTGCGGGGAGTAGAACGGCAGGGCACGTCAGACCACCATCGCTGGTCCCTGCTGTCCTGAGAGTTTCAGGACCAGCTGGTCAAACTCCACGCTGGGTGGTCCCCACCCTCACATGACCCCACGCCCCTGGCCAGTACTCAATATTGTTCTAGGTGCCTTCAAAGAAGTGACATGTTCTAAAACTCTGGCTGAAGCAGAAGCCCACGAGTTTCCTCCACAACACGCAATGACACGGTCCAGCTAGAGTGCCCCTGGAGGGACGCCCTCTCCAGCCCTTCAGTAGCCATGCTCACTTCCAGAAGGCTGCATCCACAGCAGATAGCTGCTGGCAGAGGGCAGGGGGAAGCAAGCTGGGGTCATTCCCAAAGCCAGAACAGCCCTCATACCACCTCTACTAAACCAGCACAAGGTTTGATAGGCCCGTGATGGAAGTGTTCGTGGATTTCAAAGATGAAAGAATGAGGGGAAAATACACCGTTGGGATCTTTTCTAAGATAACACTGCGGCAACTGGACTCTCCGTGCTTCCCGGCTGGCAAGCTGGCACAGGGGCCCTCGGGTAGTGAGGAGCCGGCTCTGTCACCCTGAGTTGCAGAATGAATGATAGAGCGTCAGGCTGTGATACGGGACCAAGGACCCATTTCTGCAGGACAACAAACCTGATCATAGAAGGGCTTTGGGACCCCTGACCTGCATCACTCACTGTGTACAGGCCGGAGTCATCGGAAGACCAGAAACTCAGGCCCAGGGCTGGCCGCAGCTAGAATCCACAGCTGATTAGCCAAGATGTTTTCAAGGACAGAAGCAAGTAAGGCTCAACTCAAGGGCAGTCACTACTTCCCCAGACCACCTGAAGAGCCGGCAGAACACCAGGTGGCTGACGTCATGTGTGATTCACTGAGTACACGTCCTTTGTTCTACAAACGGCAAATGACCGGGCATGGTCGTATACGAACTGATCAATCAGTCAGCCATTTGCTTAACATCTAGTCCACGTTCAGGAGGTGACGCCAGGGGACGGGCCAGAGCAGAGGTCTGGGCCTGAGAGGCGTCAGGTGGGAGGGGGAAACCCTTGCCCCAAATGAACAACCAAACAACAGAACAAGGAAGCGTAGATGCCGAAGAATTCAGCCACACGAATAAACACAGAGGGGGGCAGGACAGCAGGGGCAGGATGGCTGTGTAGACAAAGTTCTGGCTGGCCTTGCAGGTGTTTGGAGAAGAGGGAGGTGTGGACAGCAGCCTGCACGGCCCTCCTCACCCTGGCCACCTCTGCTTCTGCACCCCCCACTGTCCCCGAAACACAGGGCAGCCCATATCACCAGCCACCTTCAAAGGCCACACCCAAGGGAGTCGCCACTGTTTACTTGGCCCCTTGCTGGCCGAAGACGTCCCAGATGCTGACTCGGATGCTGACTCGGATGCCGTCCTGGTCAACAGCCTCTCTTGAGTTTTCTCCCATGTTTCTGGTTGCTATATCTTGGTCTCCTCCTGGACCTGTGCCTCCCTCAGGGCTCCTGCAGCTTGTCCATACTCTCTTCCAAGCAAACCCACTATGGTTTAGATGTGAGGTGTCCCAAAAGCTCATGTGAGAGAAAATGCAAGAAGCTCAGGGTGAAATGATCAGGTTACGAGAATCGTCACCTAGTCAGTGCATAATCCCCGAATAGGGATTAACTGGGTGGTGGCCGAGGGCAGGTTGCGGCTGGAGGAGGCGGTCACTGCGGACCTGCCTCTGGATTGTTCTGCCCCTGGTGAGGGGCCGGTCTCTCTGCTTCCTGATCATCACGTCCTGAGCTGTGGTCCCCTTCCACGCCCTTCCGCCACCACGGTCTGCCTCACATCTGTGACACATCTGTGGACTGAGACCTCTGGAATTATTGTGACCCAAATAAGCTGCTCCTCCTCTGGTTGTTCTCGGCAGGCCTCTCAGTCACAGTGGTGAGAACACCGACTAGAACCCAGCCCTCCAAGGCGACCCACATGCTGGCTCTCACTTACAGCTGTCACCTCTTCCTTGCTCCCGAGCTAGAGCATCACCGCCACAGTCCACTTCCATCCCCGTCCTGCAGACACCCCGCTGTCACCGTCTCGCCTCACAGACATACTCTGTTCCTGACCTCAGCCAGTGGCCCTGGCCTTCCTATCACTTACGCAGGATCCTGGCAACCAAGCTCAGGTTTCCTGTCGCTCCCCTAGCTCACCACGTGCTCTCAAGCTTCCTCAAATCCAACTCTTCCTTCTCAAACCCTCGTCCTTTCCGCCATCATGACATGGTACAGCAGCTACTGCCCGTGCTTTCACCTTCCACCCACTGCAGACGGCTCCCCACCTGCACCCAGGAAATGTGACGAATGTGCTCATGTCACCCCAGGACTCAGAACCACCCATGGCTGCTGTCTGCCATTTGGATGGAGTTGTTCCTCGTCCTGATGACAACCATTTCCCACTGGTCCCACCAGTGCTCGGGCTCCCCCGCCTGGCCCAACACCCGGGCCCCGCTACAGTTCTCCTTCTCCGGCCTCAGCTAGAGTCCTCCCTCCCAGGACATCCTCCACGACCACCCTCTGCCAGGTGACTCCTGGCAGCCAGGCTGCCCTGTGCCTGCTTCCCCTGCGGGCAGGTAGGTGGCAGGTGCGGTCACGCCAGCTCCTCAGGGCTCTGCCTTGACGTGACTCAGAAGGGCTCCACTAAGCAGGGGAGCCCTCCAAGGGGTCTGGGCGCGAGGGAGGTAGGCTGTCTGGGCAGGACAGGGTGCACTAGCAAGTGACACAGGGCTCTGGTCTGACCACGGCAGCGTTAGCAGGCATAAGGAAGCCCACCGGTGCCGGGTGGCAGCCCACACCAGGATGGCTGGGAGATCCGCTGGGAAGGCTCAGGGCCGCACTGGGGGACCTGAACTTCTGAGAAGGCCGCAGGCTGTGGTTTGTGCTGGGCATAAGGTGGGGACAGGTCCATTGCCACACAAGAATTCCTGAGAGGCAAGTGACAGGCACAGTCCCAACTCCAGCTAAGTCGGTGCTGAAGTGCATCGTCACCACACCCTCCTCACTGGCTCCTCCTGCACCGAATCCCCTTCTCTTTCGCCCTGTGCCCTGTGGAAGGGCCACTGCTGAGTGCTACAGTGGACAGTCAACGCTGCCCCCAGGGGTGCTCGCCTGCACTGTACAGGAGACTCATTTGGTTGTGGGGCCCACTACACTGCTCCAGGCCACTGTGAATTGTCTCAGGGACATAGACCAATGATAATGGTCCATGTGTAGAGCTTGGCACATGGCTATCCTGCCTACCTCTCAGACTGTCCTAGTCTGGATCTAAAGGGGATGTCCACACCGGGTGGGGGTGGGGTGTTTCTGGGCCTATACTCAAAGGTTTCTGTGAAGACGACAAATATGGAAGATTCAAGGGGAGCAGAGTGACCCGGAGTCCAAGCCCCTGGCTGCTGAGGCCCAGTCAAGACCGAGCGCGGCAGGGACGAGGCTGTTCCGCCCCTATGACCAGGGCTGTGGAGGGTCAGCCTCACCTCTGCTCCAGTTGATATCTAAGGAAGAAAGAAGAAGATCACATGATCCACCAAGAGGTGGCAGAACCAGGCACCCCGGGAGGAGCAAGAGGACACAGATGGACGTGAGCAGTTTAAACTCGGTGGTCAGCGGCTGGGTGTGGCGTGGTGGAAGAGCGCCTGTCCAGCACTGCAGAAACAGCCAGTGGTCAAGGACAACCTTTTGGAGAGGCGACATGGGGCCAAGGCTCTGAGGACTTGGGACAATGGATGGCTCTGCCTGTGGGCTTAGCAAGGACCCGAGAGGCTGGTGGGGCTCCCCCTGCAAGTTTGGCTGGGTCACCTGGGAGGGAAGGGCACCCATAATGTTCAGATAGACATGGTGGCAGGATCCGCGTGGAGCAGTGCTGGCCAGGACTTGATGAGTAAGAGGACTGACAGTGCAGAAAGGCTGGGCTGCCCTGCAGGGTTTGTCCTTGAATGGCTAGCTGCTGGTGAGGGCCATGTGGGGGCCCCAAGGTCTGGGATTCTATGGGCCCCCAAGGGCAGGCTTTCTGGGCCTGTTCCTGGCAGGTGTCTGGCAACAGGTGCCCCAAACAGACTTCTACCATAGCTGGACTGCACCATGTGCAACAGGCATCTTTATGGCAGGACTTCCCAGAAGTAGGGATTCACTGGATCACAGACTCCCTTTACCGGTGGTTACCCCCAAAGCTAAGGAAGTCTAGTGTCCACCCTGGAAACTGGGCTTTGGGATGTACCAATAGGGCAGACAGCTGGGGCTCCTGGTGTCCAGAAGAACCACAGGAGGAGGCAGGGTTTTCACAGCTTCAAATCCCATGCTGCACTGAAGTCCCCCGCCTCGTCCCTACGCAGAGGCAGCATAGCTGAAGTGATGGGCCAGCCAGACTCACTGGGAGAAGCACGTGCTGTCCCTGGAGTGCAGTATCTCCTGAGGCACTCCATGCCCACAACTGCCCTCAGCTTTGCAGAACCCGGGGTGTTCCTGACCTGGGTCCAGCTGTGATGCGATGGACATCGTCCAAGCTAGTTTCTTGCCATTTCCATCAGCTTCCCCCTGAGCAGCCCAGCAGGCAGCAGGGCACCCAGCCCTCCTGAACCGTGCCCACTGCGCTGAGGGGTGCTCATGGTTGCGATGGTGAATGTCCGCCTGGGCACACGTTTCCCAGCCCTGCACCCAAACTGGATGATTTTACTTCACAAGATCCTGGCCAGGGCTGTCTACGTGTGTCCTTGATCTCAGACTCTCCAGGCTTTAAGACCTTTGAGGAAACACAGGCGGCCCCAAGCGTGGATTGAAGGATAGGTCATGATTCGCCAGTTCTGTAACCTTGCGTGAATTATTCAAGCCCTGGACTCTTCGTTTCCCCCACTGTACAGGTGCCCACAGTGGCACCAACTCTAAGAGTTGTGAGAATTAAAGATGGCACCTGCTTGGTGAACAGTGGCCTGGGGCCTCCCAGCTGCCCAGCTCTGCGGCTCCCAGGCTGCTCCTCCACCCAGGTGGTCTGCCGGTTCCACCCACACTGGTCCCGCAGCCAGGCAGGCACTCCCCTCCCCACCCACCCTCAGTGCCCCCACACCCCACTCCTGACCTCCAATCTGTCACAGGCCATGGTCCCCACAGGCCACGGTCCCCACAGGCCACGGACTAGTTTCTTTTAACAGAATCCTTCAATGTATAGTGGAAACAAGGACAGAACTTCCCCAATGGACGGTCTGAAGCGTCTCAGGTCTGTGCTTCTAAGAAAGGTCTACTTTAAAAGTTCTTGATAAAAACACACTTCAAATCACTGCTCCTGTCTTCTACCTCCGTCCACCACCACACGTTTTGAAAGTAGGATTTTAAGATTCAAACAAAAAAAGATACTTTAAAGAAGTGTCTCAAGGAGCGTGAAAACAGCAGCCTGGTCCCCCACCGTGAGAAGTGACTCGCTGTGTCCCGTCCCAGGCCTGAGACGAGGGGCCTTGCAGGGGCAGCCCAGCCCTTCCCTGTGGCGACCACCCCGTCCTCCCAGTCAGCCTCCTTGCCCTGGCTCTCTACCCTACTCCACGTGAAGTGGGACCCTCAGGTAGACAGGCCCGTCTCCCCCGCTGGCTTGGGGTCCACCTGTCCTGCTCTGCAGCCCCGAGGACTGAAGAACAGAGACGGCAACCCTGCCCCCGGTGCCGCACCCCACCGGCTCTGACACGGTCCAGCTGAGAGGCTGCTCTTTCCCTAAACGAGGCCAGGGTGACCCTCTGCTTGGCAGTGACCATGCTGCATGGTCCCTCCAGACTCCTCCACCTGCACAAACCCGACGTGTCCCACTGAAACACTGACCCTGTGGCAGGTTGGCTGGCCCCAAGTAGCCTGACGCCAAGTGCCCAGCTGGCCCTTCTCGAGGGCTCACGTCTCAGTCCCTGGGCTTGGCTCCGGACACTCAGCACCAGCCCCATCACCATGCCTGCCAGGCAGCGCTGGCCTGGCCCCAGGACCTCTGACCTGGTTTAAACTTTGACCTGAGTCTCCCCTCTTTGAAACGCTATTTAACAAAAACAAAACAAAACAAAAACAAAGACATTAACGCAATTAGAAAAAAAATACCCAATATAAACTTCTCAGGGCTGGGACTAAAAGAGTGAAAAGCCAATCCCCAGCCTCCAGGAGGTAAGCCACAAAATGCCCCCGTCAAAGGGAAGGTCGCATTTTGGACAATAGAAAGCACGAAATACAACTAAACTGAGTCATGAAGCAGTCACTACAAGTTCTACGCGTTCAATCAAATGCTGCAGTTTGTAATGTATTTAAAATAAAAAGAATCATGATGTCAAAACCCAGAACATATACTTTTGAAATTAAAAAAAAAAAAAGTCCAGAATCTCTGGGCAGAAATGGACTCTATTTTTATGGAAAAAAACAAACAATTGGTCACTAATGTAGCAGAGGCTGCTTCCCAGATGAGATGGGATGTGGGTCTGGGCTGAGTCCTTCGCAGTCCTAAGCAGGGCTCACTGACTGCTCCTGGGAATGGTGCACGTCCATCAGCGAGACTGCTAAGGTAAGGTCTGAACAGAACAGTGGACCTCGGTACCCGTCACCGCCCTTCCCGACAGGGACGACAGCCTGACCCTGCAGCTGGGCCCCGGGTCCATCCCGCTCCCCTGGCGCACTCACTCTGCGTGTCGCAGTCTACACAGTGGGAGTTCCCGCGGATGTTCCGGATGGACTGCAGGGCCATGGCCTCACTCTGGCTGGTCAGTCGGGACTGGGCGTGGAGGAAGACAGACAAAAGCAAAATATGAGAAGCCTGGGGAGACAGACACCTCCTAACACCATCAGCTCAACCATGTGCAATACAGGGGAGGGAGATCCTCAGTTTCCTCTCTTGATGGGATCCACCTGTTGAGACGGACTCTGCCAAAACCAGCCAAGAGGAAAGTCCAGTGGTGTGTGTGTGACCACGAGGCCAGGGGTCCCCGGGAAGGTGGGTGCTAACGCACTTCGGCTGATACTGCACTTGTTGGCATGAAGACCGAAGAAGCACAGGAAGCCGCCTGCGGGCTTCGTCGGCAGGGTAGACCTAACTCATGCTCACTGCTCAGAAAACCCGTCCGCACCATGTCATGGCTGGAGACCCCGTTTCCATCTGAGGAAACCAAACTGGGACAAAGCGTGCCGGTGGGGCGCTTCTTCTTAAAGTACATGAAGACGTGTGAGCCGTGGCGGGACAACGCAGTCGAGCTCTGATATTTTGATACCATGCGTTCTCGTCTTCCACTTATCAAGGAATCCCTTGTCAGGTTGCCCCAGATGCTTGGGTGGCCGCCAGCTCTGCTCTACCTGAACAGAGCCGAAAGGAGCACTCTTGACGTTGACTCTACGCACACATTCACCATCACCTAGTGGACAGGAATGGCTGGTTCTACAGGTGCTAGGGAAAGGATGCCTGCAGCGGTTACAGCCTGTTTATTAAATATACATTTAATATCATGTTTAAAACAAAAATTGATCAATTTCAAGGGACACTTGGGATAAATCTTATTTTTGTGTAAGAGTTCTTTATATTGAGGAGTGGATGAAGCCATCTCTTGACATGTTGTTTGATGTAGAATAGTTTATTGCTTATTGTGTAACATTAAGTTATAATTTATTAACTTTGTCTAATTAGTATCTTGTATTACTGGGTTTTAATTCCCCTCGGCTAGATACCCAAGTATTGAAAGCATGTTTCAATTCACGTTGGCATCCAAGTGCAGGAGTGTGCTGCATGTGCACACAAAGCTCACCACAAATCCCTTCCAGAATTTTCTTTAAATGCACTTGACTTTGTAGGTTGGTGGGCATGTCCTCAGTTTCTATTTGGGCACAGTTAGAAAAATAAAATGTACTCTGAGGCTCCAAAATGTCCCAGCAAGGGGGTTTTAAACAGTCGAGGATTAAAACAGGGAAATGGAAGCAGCTCTGGATGGGAGCATAATTTTAGTGTAAGGAATGTCACTGAGCATGGCCTAAAAAATGCACATTAAAACACGTTTTCTTTGGCTATACAACTGTAAAAAAAAAAAAAATAAGTCGCCTCTAATTATTGATTAAAACACGCACCAGGCTTTAGCAGCAGTTTAGAAAAGAGAACTTCTCCTCACCCAATCTCCCTCCCGCCCAGGTCTGCAGGCGCCTTCCGTGTCCACCTCTAACAAGGCCACCTCCCCACCTGGCGTGGGTTTGGACTTCGGGCATTCGTGGAAACAGAATGGTATGTTTCTTTTTCTGATTTATTCTTCCCCAGACAAAGTGTGGATGCATAAGACCTAAGAGCCCAGGAGACTCCAACACCCGCCATGTCCATTCAGCGTGTCCACCTGATAGAACAAAGATTCAGTGTTGGACATCCTGCCACAGGGACAGGGCCAAGCCAGGACACCAAGGCATGACACGCGGTAAAGATGGACAGAGTGTTTTTATCTTTTCACTTATTTAGTCTTTTGCTCACAAAGAATACCTGGGTCCTTGTCATCCACACGTCACCTGATGCTTTGTCACCTGGGCCCGCACTCTGGGCCTTTGCTGCTCTTTAATGATCAGAGGCCTTGATTTCGGGGGACAGCCTGCTGAGGGCTTACCTTATTCTTGCTGCTCTCGCAGGACTGTAGGCTGGCTAGGATCTGGCTCTCGATGGCTTGGACCCACGCATCTCGTTCTTCATATGTGGTGGCTTCAAAGTGCCAGGTCTGGCCAGTGAGGGACACAATGATAAACTCAAAGTTTTCTTCTTGTTCTGAAACACAGAGTGGTGGGGATGAAGAGTTTACTTTCATGAGACAGCAGCCCCTCTGCCAGTGCTCTGTCACAAAAGTGCCTCTGGGTTCAATGGCACCTGCATGGGGCTGGCAGCACACACAGGCCTGGACAAGCACGGCAGCAGGGATCTGAATCCACACACCTCGGCATGCTCGAGACCGCTTCCTAAAGCCAGCAGGCTTAGCTAGGTTTCAATCGATGCTCGGGGAAAGGGAAAAATGAGAACCAGCGTGTGATGTCAGTGTCTCTGTGTCGGGCACAGACCAAGCAACTTAGGAGAATAAGTTTGTGACTTACTGCTGACCATCGTATCTGTGGGAGGAAGATTAAGTTAGCGAGGCTCATCTCAGGACTGGGTTTTAGTTACTGCACAGCGCCTGCGCGCAGACGCAGCCACACCGCAGCCCTCAGGACGCCAGAGACTTCTGTCCTTCCACGGCAAAGGACCTGTCAGGGTGGAAGAAGCTTTAGTTCCTGCTATCCTCAGACCTGAGAGCAGAATTCCAGGTGACCGGAAGGGTCGAGTTGAGGCTTGCAGTCTGTTGAGGGGCATGTTTCTGGGATAGGAAGAGAGCAGTCTGAGACCACATGTTGCAACACCATCTACCCCATTTTGGTCTTTGGACCAATCCCTCCACTCCCTAGGAGCTTGTCCCTCACCTGTGCAGTGGGCAAGGGAACCACTACAGAGCAAAGTATCTCTCCTGGTTTAGCCAGGTGCACTGACCTCCCTCCCAGGGCCTGGGCCCAGAAACCTTGGCCCTAAATTCCCAGTACCAGCCCAGGAGGTACCACTCTGGAGGAGCAGGACCAGGGACAAACCACCAGCAAGAAATGTGAAGCTGGCTCTTTAGGGGCGAGGTCCTCCTGGGTGAGCGGTCTGCAAGCTCTGGCCTGTGAACGAGCTACATGACTGCCCTGTAGCCACGGGAAGAGCCCACCTTCCAGGTGGTATCCAGGCACCTTCTCTGCCATCTGCACATGGCCACTCAGTGGCTCGTGTCTAGGGCACAGAGCTCCCACCTGCTGGGTTCCTGGCTCCTCTAACCCGGCTTCCGAGGCCCTCCTGCCAGCCTTGGCCTCAGCGGCACTCAAGGCCCTTCCGTGCCACACGCCCAGTAGCACTGGCCATGAGGACACTTATCCCAACTCCTGCCTCCTGTCTCCAAGGCCACAGCAACTGTCTCCAGCCACCTTCCCTCATTCCTTTTAGTCTCAGGAGAAATGCAGTTCCCCTGTGGTGGCTGAGAGACCCCTCCTCCCAATCCCACTGATGCTGGCAAGCCCCACTTCTGTGGGGCTCAGGCAATGTCCAGGAAGGGGAAGTCCATGTCCTCTCAACGCACTGTCCGACAATACTGTGTAACGGCCAAGTACACGGAGAAAATCATGCCACGTTCCTATGACATCCTTACATAGTCTGTAACGAATCGTGTCGTGCTTTGTGTAAAATAGCCTCATGGCTCTTGCAGAATTTAACTGCCCATTGGGCTGGACCCAAACCTGTGGGTCTTGCACCCAACAGCACCTGGAGGGTGGGGCTGTGGGCATGCCCATTTGCAAACCCTTTGGTGTCTAGAGAGTGCCCACCCTCAGGGAGTGAAAGTGACCTTGGTCAGGAGGGCCAAGCCTCCCCCGGCCTCTCCAAGGCCCGTGACTCCCCTAAAGGTGAGGAGGCGCTGCAGAGGCCTGATCTCGGGCCACACTGGTGCCCAGGGAGGCCAGGTTGTACACAAAGCCCTGGGCTCTGGCTGGCTGCCGTCATCCCCACTGCTGAAGCTGACTCCAGAGAGGGGACGGAGCGCGGCAGGAAACACGGGAGCCTCTCAGGCTCCTGACTATGGACAGCCAGTGACCAGTGCTCTGAGAGTAAGAGACCCAGCGGGAGCGCTAGTGCCATCCACTGCCCTTAAACTTGGAGAACAAGCGACCCCTGTGTTCATGCAGAAGCAGAACCTCCACCTGCCTTAGAAAGGGAAGGGGGGAGGTGGGGCGGGGAGATCTGCAGCCCCTCCCCCACCCCAGGAAGGCCCTGGACACTGGGGGACTTGTTGGATTTTCATTAAAAAAAATCACTGACTTTCAAACAGACTTCTCCCTGGCTGACCTGCAATTACACCTGGCAATTACAGGCTGAGCCAATGCATCTGTAGATCTTAAAAGGTCCAGCCTCCTGATCCATGGGCTTTTATGTCCTAATACTATGAATTATAACCTTTCTGCACAGATTCTTATAAGACAGTACCCCAATTCATGTATTTTATGCCAACTTACAGGAAACTGACAGGGCAGGAAAGAATTACAGCACACGCAGATTGACCGTAAGCAAACTTGGTAACTTATGGGTAGAACTGAAGAGATCTACTAGCAGGCTCGCACTCGTAAAATTCAAATGCACACATAAAAGCCCCCTCTGACCAGGATTTATTGGATCATCTGGTGAAAACAATCACAACCATGAGCTTCCTAGTTAGGACTCCTGCTCACTGGTCTTCCAGACAGCTTTCACATTCAGACTTCAGCTAGAATTGGGAGCTCCATTCACTGGAGCTAAAGGCAGAGAGCTACTTGGCGTGGGGGACAGAGCTGCTCTGCGAATGCCCCTGTGTGGTAGGGGCACAGGCACAGGCCTATACACAGATAAAGGACACAAAGTGACAAAACCCACGGTGGAGATCTGGGTACGGTGCCACAGAAGCATCTCCATTTTGGGCCTCGTTCTGAAGAGCAGTTACTTCCAACGCTCTCAGTATTCCACGCAAAGACGAAACTTCCACACGAAGTCACGAAGGTACAGTTTGGCTTGGCTCTATTCATCAGGCATACACAATCTACTTAAGGGAACCAAGGCCACTGGACCTCAGCCTGTTCCCTGCAAACCCCACAGGTGCTCCCTGTGGCCCGATTCTGGTGTCCGACTTACATCTCCCACGTCAGTGAACACCGGTGCCTCTCCCTCCGGTGCCCGGTCCTTTCCTCTGCTCTGCCTCTCTGCCTCCTTTACCTGGCCCTGGGACATTCTTAGGGAATGAGACTGAGCAAAGATTTCCTCACTTGACCCCTGACTTGACCGCCCTTCCTGTGGCTGTCCTGACACGTGCCTAGGACACCCAGGACACAGGAGTCCTTCACGCTCTTGCTCCACCCTCGGCAGATGCCTCCACACCCCTGGGAGAACCACAGCAGCCTGGCGCCCAGCACTCGGCCACCCTCCTCGGGAAGCCTCGCTGCACAGCCAGTACATGGCAGCGCTGGGTCTCCCTGTCGGTCTCTCTGCAGTGTGTGGCCTTGCTGGCGGTGACCACCAGGGCGACTCTCCTGAGTGCTCACCTGGATGAGGAAGGCCCTGCCTGGAGGAACGGGAGGCAGGCGAATTGGGCTGGGGTCAGCCACTCACTGGAGGATTCTGTGGAAGGATGAAGGAGGCAGAGGCCCCCGTAGTGGGCTGCTACCTGTCTCGCCTGGACCGATATTTTAATCCACACTGTGGCTGAAGACACAAAGCCATTTTGTCCAAATGTGAAAGATAGGAGATTGAGAAGGACAGTAAAGGCCCAAGTGAATTAACCTACCACATGAGGCTGCTGGCACAAGCCAGCAGGGGTGTGCTGCCCACCAAGAGGGGCCCAGTCCTGCCCTCCAGCCTGTGGAGGCCGGTGAGAACCACGGGACCCGGGCTTTCCAGGAAAGGTCCACTCTGAAAGGGCAGCCCAGGAGAAGGCTCAGACGATCCCGCAGAGCACAACCAAGCTTCATCCCAGTTAGAAACCCATTCTGCAGGCCCCAAGAGATCAACTCATCAGAGACCAGAGGATAACTAGACCTGGAACAGCACAGGCCATTGAAAAGATGAGGAACCGATGGGGACAGCAGCCACCACCCATGGCACCAACACCTTCGGGGTAGAGGGTGTCGCAACAGTGAGTTGGGTGGTCACTGCAGTCACTGTGTAATCATGATTGGTCTGTGGTATAGATGACGCATGCACAAAGGCCCTGTGGCCCTGTCTGCCCACCAACCTTTCCAGCATACGTGTAGGAAAATACGATGGATTATCCTGTTTGTTCTAACTGAACATCTCAGCCCAGCCCTGGAGACAGAAGATGTCTGGTTTGTCCATAGATGGACCAACAACAGGTCCCAAAGAGGCCACAGTGCCCCTGACTCATAGTGCTGTGTGGCTAAGGCTCCAGGCTGAGTTGTGGTGTGGACCACTGGGCTCCCTGGAGAGGAGTCCAGTCCACCCGGTGGGAGCCCGGGGCAGGCAGATGGAAGCCTATGCCCAGACTGTGCAGGGCGTGACCCTGCACCTGAGATCTTCAACAGGAGCCAGCTGGGCACCTCGCTTCCCAAGAGGGACTGAACCCTGGGTGCAGAGCCCCACGAGGCCCCTGGCATCCCTGCGTGGAAGCCCCTAGACTGAGGTCTCGTGGTTAAGGGAGGCTGAGGAGTGACTGCCCACGGTCGGGGTTCAGAGACGACGTATACTGGCCCTGTGATCTTCTCTGCCTACCAAGATAAAACACCAGAACACGGATCAGAGAGCCACTGCTGGTTCAGGCTGTGAGTTGCACACAGCTTCCCTGGAGGGGTGAGCTGCTTCCTTGAGGTGAATCTGCAGCAGGGAATACAAACACAAAGGAATGGGCTGCACTCTGCAGGCACTGCCTTGGCTGAGTACCTTCCCATCTTAAAGTGGTAAGCAGATCCTCTCTCCATCTTTGGACCTTTCCTGGTGTGCCCAGTGGGGACCAGAGGGTCTCCCAGTGGCTTTATGGAATCTTCTCTCCCTCCTGACACGGGAGGAGCAAGATGCTTGGTTTTCTAATAGTAGTTCCCCCAGAAACCTCTAAGCAGCCTGATGGCGTCAGGCTGGAGAATGCTTTTGGAAGCACTACCCAAGGCCATTCTGGTTCCTGTGACACAGTATGCAAACTTAATGGTCACATGCTGGAGACTGACCTGCTGCAACCTTTG